ACACACACACACACACACACACACACACACACACACACACACACACACACGCTGTTCATTTCTCAAAGCAGCTGATTTGTCAAACTTTAGATGATCTCAGCAGAAACACTGATCAGTCTGTACAAACGTCTGACTTCAGTAACTTTTTTAAGTAATTTTTAAAAAGCTTGTTTTTTGTTTTGTTGGGGGAGTTTTACCCTCTTCCAGTCATCTGGTGACATCTGGCGGATGAGGTCCTGGGGAACCAGCTCCCGAAGCATCTTGGGAATTGTGGGGAAATGAGATTTGTCATCTTCGAACTTGACGCGATAGATAAGCGCTGCGAGCTGGAAAACCTCCTCTCGTGAACATTTGTGGTAGCCACGCAAGTATTTAGGCAGCTCCTAAATCAGTGCAGAGATGGTGAGAGAACAAAGAGACGCTTCCTTAAACTGTTGGTGACAAAATGAAACCGCACACAAAGACCATCTTTAAAATGAACGTTTCCAACACTGGACGAGACGCTGTCATTTTGAACAATCATGGAGGTGTACAGATGTGCCCATGCTTTTTCAAGATAAATTGATTAATATATACTGATATGTACTGTGTGGCACATGTAACAGGAACAATCAGCTTCCTCTCCAGTGAGTTCTTCTGTGGACAGGGGGCTGCTCATTTATGGCAAATATAATCTTTGTGGGTAATTATTTAACACGACTCCTCAGTCTTGCTGTGCTGTTAGTACTTTTAGCTCCTCTAACCAGCATTGGTGAGCTCTGCATAGCAGCTCTAGTTCTCCACCTGCTGCAGGTTCTGGGGTTCTGCAGCTAAGAGACACGAGCCCGACCTGACGGCCTGCAGCTGAACTTTCAGAATAAGATCCAAGGGATTGTCCAGTAGTAAGTAGACGCTGTTGTCTCAGACAGATAGGAAATAATGTGATTACATGATATGTGCCCCACTAAAACAGAATCTTAACGTGGAACGCACGTGCATGGCTATCGTCTTACACAGGAAACTGTGTTTAACTGATCTGCGTTTCCAGTCGGACTGACAGTAACGACTGGCACGTGGATCAGGAAGTCTGGGGTCAGATATAAGTCCTGAAACATGCAGGCCGAGTCGTTCTCAGTGCGTCTCTGGTAAAACTGACCTGGTAGTAGTGGAAGATGGAGTCAGCGAAGGAGTCCTTCCCTGGAACCGTGTTAGTCCACAGCTTCTTCATGAAGAACACCTGATAGGTCAGAGAGGGAACGATTCCTGTACGACGAGATGGAAGGTCGAAGGTCAGCATGAACTGTGATTCCGTGTAACTTTGCAGTTAAGCAAACCCCAACAAACTAACGGTGTATTCAGCACAAACACACAGGAGTTCAGCTGGAGTGTTTTTACTGTTTCTCAGCCAACAAATATTCACCGAACAGCCAATGACGAAGAAACATTTTCAGAAGTCACCCGAGTCCAAGAAATTAAGTTTAAACTTCTCTATCTTGTCATTTTTTCTTCCATCTCTGTTTAAGTTTTGAAAACACTGCACGACGTGAACTTGTCCACCATTCTGGGCGTGTGGTGATCAGGATGATAATGATGCTCGATAAGAAGGCCCCTGGTCAGCTTGGCCACCGGCAGCCGCCAGAAACAGACTGTTGGCCTTCAAAGTAAAAGCTGCACCTTTTGAAACGTGTTGGCTGATCTTACTCGCTGCTGTATTCTTAATGAATACCACGTGATGGTCAGTTTATAAATCACTCCCATTAGAGTGGAGAGGATAACAAACCAGTACCTTCAAAGAGCCATGATGGCAACAAACGCTCAGCTTCACTGACCAACAACTGACCCCACAGTGGCTGTATATTACACAGCAGGAATGCCTACTCCTCTCCATTTTCTGTTTTTGCTTTGAATGTAATCAACTTGTCTTATTTCCTCTGAACACAAGTCTGTAACACACACACAGCCGGTGTGTGTTGTGAAAAACATCTTATAATTTCCCCTGTTTATCGTGTGCGCTCTAATCAAAGATCTGTCATGAAGGTTTCACCGAGAAGTTTTGTGAAACTGTTTGATCAGCACGAAATCTGCAGTTTGTTACTTAAAAAATATTGTAAAGTACTTGAAACGAAGCAGTCTAAATGATGCAAACAGTAACGATACATCAGATTAGAGAGAGGTCAACCCAAAGGAATCCTGGGTAATATTTCAGTCCTGCTGTAGTCACATGTACACAGACAGCCCCTGCAGTTGTGTGATGGGAACTTCTCATTAATATTTTACAGTTTTGCTTTTTTGCTTTTAAAAGTCCTGAAGTCAACCCAAAGATATTTTAAACACGGTACCGACCGTCTTTAGCCGGCCGAGATTTCTTGATCCAGTCCGTTAAATGTCTGACGAAGTCAAAGAAGAAATCTCCCTCAGGTACACTGATCACCTGCAGAGGGCACACACAGAAACATCAGCGTGAAGTTAATCAAGAAATTAAACTTTGTGAATGAAAGATTTGTGTTGTTATAGAAAGCAGCTGTAATCATTGAAGTGTTAAATGCAAGACTCAAAAGCAATAATTCATCAATTTTAAGAGGCAATGTTTAAACTGTTAACAATCAAAAGAATTAAAAAAAATTTATTCAATTGCAATATAAAAGTGACATCTACTCGACCATATAGCGGTAATTTTAGAAACCTACAGAAATGGTTTGTAAGCTGCACACAGAATCATAACTGTGTCCTTAAGACATTTAAATGTATTTGTATTTAGAAACTTTACATTTTCGCGTAAAAACTGCAAGTTCCTTCTGTTGAGGACGTGTTTTGTGGTTAAGGTGGAACAAACTGTAAAGGAACAATAGTGATGACTAGTACAGACATCTAATAATCCCAGTATTTCTTTAGAGTTGTGTACTGGTTTGAGGAAAACCTCCTGAAACCAGTAAAGCTGTAATACTCTGAGGTTCTGAGAAACCATCGTTGACCTCTGACCTTGTCCGAGATCTTGACGAAGAGGCTGAAGCCTTCGGGAGATTTGAGCAGCAGTCTGGTGGAAATGTTCTGACAGAAATCCTTCGCCTTGGTGCTTGACTCCACCTCGAAGGCCTGCAGGTGTGAGACCAACACGAAGACTCATTTTTCAAACACGTTTATTTACAGAGAACGTTTACACCTGCAGGCTTGTGTGTCCGACCTCGTCTGTGTCGTCGGGGAAGTAGACTTTATGGAAGATTTGGGTCGTTTTATGTTGGATGGCCTCCACTTCCACCAAATGAGGAGGGTACTTCCTGGATCCATTTCTGTTAATGATGACAAAAAGCAGCAAAACTGGTTGGGAAAAAAAAAAAATGTCAACACCAAATACGATGATTGTTTCAGGCTGAAAGTCTGAGGTGTTACCGTAGCGCTTTGTGCACCCTCTGCATGCAGTCTCCAGACAGCGGGTGGTGCTTCTTGGACTGGAGGTAGCGCTGGATGTGCGGCAACAGCACGTTACTGGGAGGAAACAACCCAGTGCACAACCACAGCAGCTCCCAGCCTTTCTCCTCACTGTACCTGCAGCAACACAACACTCACCTTCAGCTTCTGCACAGAAAAATTAAATCTGCCTGCAGCCACAGACTGAATGATGACTGTCCACTGAATGCAACAAGTAATGTGAACATTTAGAGTTTTAACTTCTTCTACTCAATTTATTTTGCATAAAAGCACTTTTGCTTCATTTCATGGGCAAAGCAGCATCTCTGGGGTTTTTATAGGGGTGGGTTTTGATTATCGATTTAGCGATTAAAATCGATTCTAGCTTGGATAACGTGATATCGATTCATTCAAATCCTGAATCAATTTTTAAATAGAAATTAATTTTGCCCTCAGGTTAAACCTCACAAAATTTCAACAACCACCGAACAGCTAAAACAGTAAACGAGAGCAGGAACACGGATTCTGCACAAAGACGTAAACACAAAGCGCGGACCCGCCGACGGATCAGGATCAGTGAGCTGTTGGCTCTCTCACCCGACGGCACGGACACGGTCGGGGCTAAAAGCTGACAGCTCACTGATTCTGATCCATTGGTGGGTCTGCGTTTTGTGTTTACGTCCTTTTTGCGCTCGATTCTGAAGCTGCAGGTTTTATGGTAAATGGCCTGTATTTGTATAGCGCTTTACTAGTCCCTAAAGACCCCAAAGCGCTTTACACATCCAGTCATCCACACATTCACACACTGGTGATGGCAGCTACATTGAAGCCACAGCCACCCTGGGGCGCACTGACTTTATCTCTCTCCAAACAATATTGACCGAACCAGCAGCAAAAGAAGATCCAAACTTCGCTTCACATAAACATCGTCATGAATTCACTCTGACTTTTGCTGTTTTGCTTCCACCAGGATAAAAATCACACTTCAGAGCTCTCCCTCTCTGTACTTCAAGAACAGTTTCCAGTCTAAAAATCTGTTTTCTGCATTATTTGCTTGCTTATTACGCACAAGTCTACCGTTGTTTACAGCGCTGTCGGCCGCTGTTTTTTTTCCTTTTACTTACTTCCGAAATGAAAACCTAATTTCTGCTGTTCAATTCTGAACAAATTTAAACTTTTTAAAATGATGCAAAATTGCAAAACGTTCAGCTGTGTCTCTAATCAAACCTCTGTAACTTTGCTCTGCTTCACTTCAGCAGCATCAGCTAATGTTCATGTGTTGATTAATGGTTTTCTTTCGTTTTTGATCTACTGCAGAATATTTTTATAAATCCCAGGCCAGGAAAATCACCTTCATGTTTTTCTGTGTTTTATCCTCAGCTACTTTGACACAAAGGCATCTGCTGTGATGCTCACACCTTTGATAAAGTCTCGCAAGTTTCAGCTTTCTTTTTAATAGACAAAAAAATATGGACATGTACTGATGCGTGATCAGAATTATAATATTTCTGACTGTCTGAGGATAAATTTCCCTGAATCGAATAGAATCGAATGGTGGATCGCATTGATTCTAGAAATCAGTGACGATACCCAGCCCTAGTTTTTTTAATTAAATCAGTGGGGAAAAATACAGTTTCTCTAATGGCCACTAGAGGCCGACTCCACCACAGGTTGACAGGCCGGCACAAAACAGCATCATTGTCTATTTCACATCCCCCCAAAAAAACCAACAAAAATCTGAGTTTCATCCACGTGCACCTCATCGTTTTATCCTTAAAAATCTGTAAATGAAAGTGTGACTGAGGTGAATTTACACACTTGACGTGATTGTCTGTGAGCTGTTTGATGATCTGACAGTAGATCTCATCCTTCAGTGGTTCGGCCTTCAGCGCCCCTTCAAAGATCTGGTCCGTCAGCTCGTTCACCGAGCGAGTTCGTTTGGACGGGTAGTCGCCCATGTACTTCATGATAGGTAGGCTCTAGGTCAAGGAATAACCCTGACACATGTACAATATAAAAGCAGATTATAAAAGCAGAGAGATTACAAGAGCTGAGACTGTGGCAGATGTTTAACTTCCAGGGAGAAAAAAAGGCTTTTTAAATTTTTACCATTTACCAGATTTGACTGGTGATTCTTTACATGCAGTTTTTATGGACAGGTGGCCGCTGAAATGAAAGTTATTTTTGATCAGACTTCAAAGTAAACCCCCAGGTAAATGTGTAAAGGTATCAGAAGTGGCAGTAGGTTATAGCAGAGTACCCTGACCTGCTTCTAAGAGGTGTTTCTAACCTGCATCTGATAGTCTTTCCCTTACAGTGTAAAATACAAACGATGTAATAACAGAGACAAAACTCAAACCATGATAGAAACACAGAAGATCATCTAATTAGAATGGCCCTAAAATCTGAGAGAGATGAACGCCGTTACTGTTAATGATGAATGCTTGTGAATGTTGTGAAAACATGTCTGTGGGGTTAGTCTGAACACAACATAAGCTCAGAGTCTGCTTGGTGATCCACCAGTCGGCAGTTTGAAGGATATCTATAAAAGACATGCAGGCGTCCTGAGCCAGCTCCTCGTGGCTGACGACCTTCTTCAGCAGCGGCTGTTTCAGCGGCTCTCGGGTGCAGCTCCACAGCTTGTCTTTCCCGCGATTCTTCGTGACCATCACCCGGCTCAGGGTGTGTTTGGGAGGAGGCCTGACAGGAGCAGGTTACACAGAGATCACAGGACTCAGGAATGAAGGCAGAGGATCATCAGAACGATAGATATTTGTTTTTGAAGCAAGAAAAATATCTATCTATCATGTTTTTTTGGTCTGTGTACCTGAAGTAGTCGTAGGAGAACTCCTCCAGCGTGTAGGGTTTCGTTCTGTCATCAGTTTCCACCATGACGACCTGCGAAACACGAACCGACTCCTGACGCTGCTCGGGCGTCATGGTGACCAGCGCCTGATAGTTCGGATCACATCAGACTGCATCATGTTTTGTGTAAGCACAAAAGACAACCTAACACAGCAGCATCTGTGACGTCACAGTGGGCCATCGTTCATATACAGTGTATGATCTCTAAACTGTTAAACAGGAAATGGGAACATTTTGTGATTTTAAGATGTAATAAAAACATAATTTTGTGGTTATTGTGCTTTTTGCTGTTGTGCGTACAATCTCAGCAGTCCTCTTTGTTTTTTGCTTATCCTGATGTTTGGCTATAGTCTTCTTTAAATGCTGAAAGCCCATTTTTGAGGCAGTTTGATGCTCATTAGGTGGTTGGAGGAGTCACTAAGGTGGCTCTGAAATGACTGAAAGTGCCCAGTAATCACATTTTTTGTATTCTCAGACGTTTTAGGTATGTTTTCCTCCTCACCACTATGTCCTGCTGAGGTCGGGTCATGGTGGGCAGGACGTAGACGCAGTCCGCTGGGAAGTCTCCCTTCTGATTGGTTCGTTCGTTAACACCGTGTGCCCAGCCAGAGTTGAGGACCTGCTCGCCGGTCTCCTGGTCCAACAGGATCAGGTCTCCTTTCCGGAAGCTCAGGAACGTCGACTCCTCTCCAGCTGAGGAAGAAAACGGCACTTTGTAAATCTTTTCCACACTGGATTTATTTCATTCCAAGCTGAGCGTGCCTCTCTGCTCAGGACTCACTGGGGTTGGGGTTGTCCTGCAGAGCGACCACAAACTTTGACCTCTTCCTCAGACCCTCCAGGAAGGTCACCACCAGGTCCCGTATGTCCTCTGCATTGTTGGAGGTGAAGGTGTACTCGTCTCCTTTGATGGTCGCTAAAGTGAAACTCTGACCCTGCAGCTTTCCTCCCCTGAAAGAACAACAAAATATGCACTGACCAGCTTCGCTGTCCAGGATAACGATGAAATTTACATTTAAGTTTAGGCTCCACTTTATACGCTGAAACTCTTAACCCCTCATTCCTCACTCACGGCCCTCCGATCAGAGAACCATGTCATTGGTCAGGTGACTACAGGTAGACTCACCTGCTGCTGGAAACTGCAGTGATTTCTGGGAAGGAGAGCTCTAAGAGGACCTGTTCCTGCTCATCTACAAAATAAACTCCCGTCCAGTTGACGGCGACGATGAGGTCGTTTTTAGGCAGACTGGGACCTGAGAGGTAAACATCAAAATAAATTTAAAAAAGAAAAGAACTTACAGAACCAAGAGGTTAAAATATAAATAACAATTCTGAATAATTTTGCTTTAAACAATATCCGTCTTTATTTTCGTGTCACATTGTATCAAAGTTAGTGGAATGAAAAGCACTGATGGCAGACTGGAGGTGCTACAACAATGCCGCTGGTACATTACATAACATTAAAGGGTCATATTATGATATCAGTGCTACAGCAACCCTATGCAGGCACGTTTCCTAGTGCCCAAAAACAACACAAGCCCGGGAATGTCAGCTTATCTAAAAAGGGAGCTACTTCAACAACAAGAAGCACTGAAGGTGGAAAAACTGATGTGTTGCAGCACTCGAGGCAAGAAATGCACTCCTCATTTGAATTTTTTGAGATGCAAATGAGGAGACTTCACTCAGGCAAGTCTGCTGGACCAGACGGAGTGAGTCCCCGCGTCCTCGTGTCTGTGCCCCCCAGCTGTGTGGAGTCTTTCATAAACTGTTTATGCTGAGTCTGCAGAGGGTCCCAGTGCTGTGGAAGACATCATGCCTCGTCCCTATTCCAAAGACGCCACGTCCCAGTGGCCCCCAGGATTACAGGCCCGTGGCACTGACCTCCCACATCATGAAGACCCTGGAAAGGCTCATCCTGGACCAGCTGCGACCCATTGTAAGACCACATCTGGATCCCCTTCAATTTGCTTATCAGCCTCGTCTCGGAACAGAGGACGCCATCATCTACCTGCTCAATCGTCTCTACACCCATCTGGACCAGCCGGCGAGCACTGTGAGGGTCATGTTTTTTGACTTTTCCAGTGCTTTCAACACCATCAGGCCGACCCTCCTGGGTGATAAGTTAGCAGCGATGCAGGTGGGTGCTTCTCTGGTGTCCTGGATTGTTGATTACCTGACAGGAAGACCACAATATGTACGTCTCCCACAGTGTGTGTCTGACAAGGTGATCAGCAACACAGGGGCACCACAGGGGACTGTCCTCTCCCCCTTCCTCTTCACCCTCTACACCACAGACTTCAGCCACTGCACAGAGACCTGCCATCTTCAGAAGTTTCCTGATGACTCTGTGGCCAGTGCGATCCTCTATGCTGTTGCATGCTGGGGGAGCAGGCTGAGGGTCGCAGATGCCAACAGACTCGATAAACTGATTTGTAAGGCCAGTAATGTTGTGGGGATGGAGCTGGACTCCCTCAAGGTGGTGTCTGAGAGGCGGATGTTCTCAAGATAAAGACTATGTTGGATAACACCTCCCACCCACTCCACGACATGCTGGTCAGTCACAGGAGCGCGCTCAGTGAGAGACTGAGATTACCGAAAAGCACCACTGAACGACACAGGAAATCATTCCTGCCTGCGGCTCCCTGTACAACTCATCCACTTAACACACTGTTTACTGCAACAGCTACACCCTTCTTGCACATGTTCTTTTTCATTTATTTATTAATCAGTGACTTTTATGTATATATATGCCTGCATATTGTGCTATTCTTAGTTAGTGTATTGTCTGTCTCTGTTAATGTTTGTTTATAATGGAGCACTGTAACGAAAAATAAGGATTCTGATAAAAACAAACTGCTGAGCATCACTGTAGCGCTCGCCAGCTGCACTGCTTTATGACAGGAGGAGCAAGCAGTGGATGGAAATGACTGATGATGGAAAAGCAGCTCCTTAAGAGTTTACAAAGGAGTTTTTCTTTCCCACTGTCTCCAAGTGCTTGCTCATAGGGGGGCGTCTGATTGTTGGCGTTCTCTCTGTATTATTGTAGCATCTCTACCTACAATATAAAGCACCTTGGTGCTATATAAATACAATTTTATTGAGCTGAGTAACTTCAGTCATAGTTGAAATAAACCTTAATCAATCATTTTACCAATAATCAATAAAACGGTTCAGTATTTTCACACTTTAACTAAGTGTCACCAAAGTTGTTCAAAGTGATTAAAAAAAAGTTTCACCTGAAAACTTGAAGGCTTCGTAGAAACGAGAGAACAGCAGAGGCCACTTGTGGCGAGCAAAGTCGACCACTTCCTCCTTCACCTTCTGAGGGTCAAATCTCTTCTGGGTGTAGATGCTCTGAGCACAGAGATGTTTATTACATTTACATGTTAAAATAAAAAAGTATATAAAATAAATGTATTTATCATACTGCTACAGATAATGTCCAAGCTGAACATCTTAGCTTGGATATGAAATTTCAGCGTTTCAACAATTTAAGCTGCGGTTGGCCCTAAAAGACAAACAGAATCACGTTCATCTTCAAGCCGGGCTAAAAAGACCTCTCCTTCTTACTGGTGATAATCACCTTTTTATGAGCAGCCATGATGAAGTGAGCCCACTTCTCCACCGATCTGGAGGTGGTGATCTCTCTGTCCGGGATGTAAGACGGGATGAGGCTCAGCAGGCGCTCCAGGAGGATCTCTGAACCGTAGTCAATGTAATACTGCTGAGAGGCCAGCTCTGCGAGGTCATCCTGGAGACACAGAGACAGAAGAAATAAAAAAAAGTTTGTCCTGCCTCCTGTTCAGCCAGCCTGACATTAATCAGTGCTCCTACCGACTTCTTACCCTTATTAATAATGCAGAATATTTGCAGTTCCTCTAAGGCCCACAGAAGGCTGACTACAAAATGTTATAATGTCCACTGTTGGAGCAGAAATGTTTCCCATGCACTTGCTAAACACTATTCTTTGAAAACAAAGGACGTGTAGTCACCCTGTCACAGCGGTATTCTCCAAACTTGACGCCCCTGACGGTTTGCTGGTAGATCAGGTTGGTGGCGACCTGGTCTTCTGTTGGCTCGTGCCACGGGGTAAAGATTTCTTTCCTGAAGAACAGCCGCCAGGGGGCGTTCCTCTCCTGAGCTCCCTGCTCTTTGGCGTACTGCTCGCACTGCGACACGGCGTCCATCACATGGTCGCTCCCGCTGCCTAAAGAGGAGACCTGCAGGACGAGATCAGAGGTGCAAACTGGTGACTCTTTTTTCTCCAACAAACAGAGGTTCACATCCCTGCAGCGGCCACAAGATCTGAGAAAGATCCAGATGATCCAAACTGTTCCAGAGCGCGAGGCCTAACAGGTGCTACAAAGGAGTATCATGCCTTGGAGCTCATATGATGCCGTGTGCATGCCCACCTTGTCAAACAACGCGATGTACAGAGAGAAGCCAAAGCGGTCTCGCAGGTTGATCTTGTCGGACAGGGCGCTGCAGAGCTCCTTTGCTGTGGTGGCCGAGTCTGTCAGCAGCGTTTTGGTCGTGCCATCCATGAACGTCACCGGCAACATGATGGGCTTCTTTGATTTGGTGGCCTGGACGTTGATTTCACAAAAAGAAACCGTTCCAGTAAACGGTGGGTGAAGTCACAATGGCCACGTCTGTCTTTTATATACAGTCTATGGTTTATACCTGCAGCTCCAGCCAGGACGGAGGCTGCGTTCGCGTCCCATTCACAAAAGTTCGTCTTAGACGTTCTTCACAGTATGGAGCGTAGCCTGGAGGCCCGCAGCTGATGAAGTTCCTCAGATACTGCAATCAAAACAAACACAGATGTAACGTCATGGCTAATGTGGAAATGCCAACACAAACGTTGGACGCACTGACCTTCACAAATTTGTCTGATGGAGCGAAGCAGCCGACACACAAAGAGATGAGGATCCAGCCGCGAGCGTGAGAACTCTTAGACGGGTTCTGACTCAGCTGCTTACAGATCTGACAGTAGATCTCATCCCTAACACACACACACACACACACACACACACACACACACACACACACACACACACACACACACACACACACACACACACACACACAAACTCACACACACACACACACACACACACACACACACACACACACACACACACACACACACCTCAGAAATATCAAAGACATTAACAGAGACCCAGCAGAACTTTATGAGACACATTTTATGCGGTTTAATGCAGATTAACTGAAACTGGATGTCGAGACTTTGTCCTGATGGTGAACGCTGCTTCATATTCACAGCCAGACACACACGTGTTCACCAGCCTCTGCACTATTATTTACTCTTTAAAAGAAATCATGCCGTTTCATTAAATTACCATTTAAAATGTATTTTTATCTGCATGGCTTTATTAACTCATTCAGCGGCATCTTCATGTATAAATTCAATTCACATCAGGTTCATTTGTGAAGCACCAAATCACAACCACGTCACTTTATACATCGAGATGAATATTAATGTACAACAATAATAATAAACATACGGCAAATATGACAGAATGATGACTAAAAGAAAAATCAACGGGATGACAGCTTAGATGTCCAAAGAGATTCATCTTGAATTTAAGAGCAGCTTTGAGTCCGTAGACCGTCGTATTGTGTTAGTCTCCCATATTAACGTTTTTATGAGGCAACAGCTCGATAAAGGAAAATTTGAAAGTATCTGCTTTTTAAAAAAAACAAACAAACTTCAAATTAAAGTTTCACTGAAAACTGGAAAATTTTAAACTTTCACTTTTAAATTTCAAAGTGGGCCACAGCGCTGTGACATCTGGGAAGGTCTATTTTATCAAATACACAAAGGGCGGCTTAGATACAAGTTTTTTCCTCCACATGTCCAGTTTTTATATCCAAGGTAATTTTGTGCAAGTTTGGGAAACCACATGATGACCCTTTGTTTGTTTGTTTACCTGAGTCCTGGCCTCAGGATCCCGTTGCCGATGATAAAGTGAAGTTTCTCCAGGTTGGATGTGGGACGATCTTCCAGCATGCTGTTGCCATGAAGACCGTACTCACCGTCGTTAAGGCGCTTGGTGACCTGAAAAGCATCAGATTACATGATTATCTTAATTTGTCTGTCTGTTAGCAGAATTATTCACAAATATATGGATTTGACCCAAAATGGACTTGAAATTGATAAAATATCTTCATCTGCGCTTGAGATAAAATCCGACCTCATGTTTTTAACATGAAGTTCAAACCCAGATTTCCTTCTGCACCAGAAGCACAATTTTCAGTCTCAGACTGCTCATGTTTAATTAACAGAAACAAGCCCAGCATCATATCACCCTCCCTCTCTCTCACCTCCTCGGTGATCTTGGATTTCTTCTTCAGGGTGAGGGACACAAGTTTGTGTCGGACACTGTTCTTCTTGTGGCTGTCAGAGTGAGGCGTCTGGAGGTGAGAGAAGGAAATCAGCTCACAGAGATCCCTTACACAGTCACTGTGACCTGCACCCTGTTATTCCTGATCTTTGGAAACTATATGAAGTAACAAATGTTAAAAACAGATAAGTTACAAGAACACACTGAATAATAGTTCATACTTTATAGCTCATGTTAGCGTTTACTCGCTCAAACCTTTAAACTCCGTCACTCTTCCTCCTCACCTCTCCCTCCCCTTGCAGCGCCTGCAGCTCTCGCTTGTACGTCTTTTTCCCCAGCGTCTCGTAGATTTTGGTCATGACGGGGATCTTCTCGCTGCCGTCGCTGATGGCCGTGTGGTACTTTGGCTCCGGGAGATCGCCCATGAACCTCAGCACCGTGATCCACACCGCCAGAGCAGCCTGAGCAGACACGCAGGGCACAAGGAAACAAAAGGCTCATCAGGTGAAATAACTGTTCCTTTGTTGGTTCGTTCTTGGCTGGTGACAGGTCTTAGTAGTCGCACCAGTCATCAGCATCATGGAGCACAGACTGTAACAGCTGCACACAGTCAGAACCTTTCTGCACTCATTACGTCTAAATTAAGTTAAACCTGAGAGACGAGCAAAGCTCGCTGTAGAGCGACAGCCTCGTGTGGCCTTTTTCAAAACTTCTTCAGTCGCTTGCAAAATACATTTTTACTTTTGCGGGGTCAGAGGTCAGACCTACCAGCTGGTCCCCCTCATCGTCGTGGAAGAGCAGCGGCTGTTTGAGAGGTCGTCGGGCGTAGGTGTGCGTGGTGGTGCCCTGGAAGTAGGTGGCAGCAAACTTGGCGAACTTGTACTCTGATAAATCCTCTTCATCATCGTCCTCAGGCAGAGGAAGAGCCTCATCCAGATCCTCCTCCTCCAGCTCGTGATGGGTCCGCTCCAGATCCTGTAGAGAAGACAAGAATTTACTGTCTGCTGAAGTTTCCAGAAGTTTTTTCCAAATTCTCCAAATTTTCCAACTTCAAAAATCCCTCAAATCTATCACTGCGTCTCAGAAACATGCTGTCCTGCAGCACTGTTATTGGAAACAGGTCATTCTTTTTAGAGAAAAAATTTACCTCACACATTCTTATTTATCTAAAGCTGTGATTTCACTGGATGGATGACTTCTTATCTCTAATAATTTGAAATAACTGCCAACATGATATCTGATTTTAATGCCCTGTAAATCTGCCATGTCTGTTTAAGGAGCTTGGAAAGAAACGCATCTGGACTTCTTTAAGCTGCTTGAAGACGTTTCACCTTCAAGCAAACGTCTTCAAGCAGCTTTCCAAGCTCCTTAGACTACGATGACCTGGATGACTGAGAACCTTCACAGACATATTTCCACGTCTGTTATTCACAAAGTAATAACTCCACCACAAACTACCAGAAACTTTTCACCAAACACACATCCTGTATTTATTTTTTTCTTCTTTTCAGAAAGAGTTTTGTTCTCTTCACAGCTTTCTCCTGAAATTTTCCTGCAGGACTTTGAAATATAAATAAAAGTTTGCAAGTTTAGGAGAGTCCAGGCAAGTTCAAATCAACCCAAACACTGAAGTCTTCAAGGATTATGAGATTTATTATATTGATTGCAGTTTTTATAGGACCAACATACTGATGTGTAGCTGCGTATTTGAGTAAGCAGTCTTCATGAGTCCTGTGAACATGCCACACACACAGACGATGGCATTATTAACGATCGAGGCTTAAGGAGTCATTTTCCGTCCTCCTGATCAGACACCTTTGCCAACAGGACACAGTTTTACTGATTACACACGTTGGGTAACTGTCTTTGGCCTTTATGAGAAAACGGTTCATTAATAAGAGGAAAACTTGGTCGTGTCACCTCAAAGCCAGCGGGGGCTTGCCCTTCCTGACCCGGGAAAGAACTGGTGGTCCCCAGGAAGCCGAACATCTTGTCCACCATGTCGGAGTCATTGACAGGCTCCGTGCGGGCCTTCTCCATCTGCTCGACCATCTCCTTCTTCCTCCGAGCCTCCTCCTTCTCCTTCTTCTCCCTCTCAGCGTCCTCTTTGGCGAGCTGAGCCAGACGCTCCTGAAGAAAGAAACATTGCACTAGAGCTCAAAAATACAGAACAATCCAGTATCTTTCTCGGCACAAGTGTGATGATGAATTATTATTATCCACTTCCCTGCTCTGCTTCACTGATGTTTTAAATGTTGTCACATGTTACATTTGTTCACCTGGTGTTTGCGTTCAGCCTCAGCTTTCGCTCTCTTTGCAGACATCTGGTTCCTCAGTTTGGTTTCTTCAGCCAGACGCATCTTCTCGGCCTCCAGCCTCCTCCGGTACTGAGAGGAGAAATGAAGGAGTCCACCATTAAAGACCAAATCAAAACTGCAGCAGCCAGCTGCCAAAACATCCTCGGCACAGCAGCAGAGGGCAGTGCAACTTCTGAATGCCTCTTTCTTTTTTACACAACAGTGAACAATGTAATGACACTTTGAGGCCGAGCATTAATTTAACAAAGAAATCAGGAGAAGCACAGAAATCACAATGTATGAAAAGATATCAAATCTATCAAGCTCTAGATTTTGTAAACTGATGACATGAACGTGATCTCATCATCTCTAAAACTGAAAACTTGTGTGTAAAATGAGTTTTATGTATATGTGCACTGTTCTGTGTGTGTGTGTGTGTGTGTGTGTGTGTGTGTGTGTGTGTGTACCTCTGCCTTCAGCCTCTTGTACAGTCGTCGAGCGATCATTCCTCTCGTGTAGGCCTGGATGGTGATGACGGCCCACAGCCGGTGCCTGAATGCTCGACGCACCAAGAAGCCGCGACAGCGACCCTGGAAGGCTGTGATTCGCTGACGGGCCACGTGATACGATGCGCACAACTTCCTGGAACGAACCAGAGCTTGAAGACGAGAAAAGCCAGCTCGCATCTGAAAGTAAAGAGGAGGAAAGTTCAGCGAGTCTTTGCTTTGATTTTATTTTGTTTCCACTTTGTTCAAACTGCTGCTCGATGCTCACAGCTCCATAGTTCTTCCTGCACTGATATCCTCTCCACGTCTTCTGGATCAGCACTGCCGACTTCTTCAACTTCAGGAAGTTGGATCTGAAATTGAAAATAATCAGAAATGATTATTTATATGACCTCTTGTTTTACTGTTCATACAAAGAGAAAAAACCTCTGAGAAATAGTTATAAAGAGTCACAGAGAGACTTGTTCGTCTTATTTTCTGCTTTCAAAGAAAACAGAACAGTAAGCGATGACAGTCATACTCAGGAGATATGTGCAAGTGTCAGTTTTAAGCAGGTGCAGAACAACACCGCAAGCTACGGTCCGAGAGCGTGATGTTTGAATTCTACTCCTGGATAAGAATCACTGGCAGCTGCATAAAATAAAATAAAATCTCAGTCTGTGAGAAACGCTGACGACCCACCTGTCCTTGAAACCCCGAACCACCTTCTGGATGAGGATGACCTTGTCTGTGATGGCCTTGTCTCTCTCGATCTCCAGCAGCATGTCGTGATGATCCTGGACAGAATAATAAACACACTCCGTACGCTTCTGTTTCTCTGCTCTGACTCAGTTTGAGAACATTTTACTCAAAACCACAAAAGTCACCTACTGGTCCTGGAGGAAAAGCCAGGAGGAAGTCAGTAACTTAAATGAAACAGAGCAGCTGTCACTTCCAGCTAACGTGGCAAAATATAAATATCTGCTTTCTAAAAATATAAAATGTAAGACACAGGCAGGATACACAAGCTTTAACCTGACAGTTTTCAACTAACATGACACACAACTAAATGTAAACACCTAAAGCTCCTTCCCGTCATCTGTCCACCCGCATGCAGGCTGATCTGACCACGTCCTGTTGGGGAAGTGTGGGCACTGCTCTGCTTTCACCCACTGAACTTTCTCCTTCCTGCTGTACTTCCTGTCTGGCCGAGCATCGAGGCCTGAGGGAGATGAGCCTCGACTCCACCACAGTCAACACATCTCAGTGCTCCACCCCCAACTTATCAATCTAAAACACTTTAAAGGTGAAAGTGTCACATTATATCCACTAGGATTTAAGGGCTGAAGGTCCACCCCCTTCACCAAAATTACATTTTGTTCCCAGGAGCGATCTTTGATGAGCGCTTTGAATGCAGGAAGTAAAGAAAATAAAAGGCAGAAACATAAAAATGAAGATAACAGCTGTGCTGCAGAGCGACTATAAACAACAACAACAAAAACGCTTTGACAGGCTGTGCTCGCCACGTCAAACTACACTGTGGAGCCAGATGATCTGTTCTTTTAACCTCTGTGTGGGGACGGCCAGCTAACAGACGTGACCTCTGACCTGATCTGCAATACATGTTTGTATAAAGTAGGCAGATAGACAGCTGGAAACTAAAACACGCAGTGTTTCCCATCAGCAGACGTGTGGACTGGAAACAACCAGAGCAGATTCACGGCTGGGATGAACCACAGCTGAGCGAGTCAGAGACGAGAATGTAAAGAAGTTCTGGATAATGTGGAAACATTTCAGTGGAAAGATAAGAGAACAGTAGTTCACGCGATGTGCTGCGCCAGCCGCTTAGCCCGGGCATCAGTGTTTTTTGGAAATACAGCGAGCCCTGTGAAAAGTTTCACACTGGTGCTGTTAGCAGCTGTGTGAAGTGGCACCTACAAATCTGAGACTTTGAACAACACCCTGCATGCAGGAGTACCTTGAGGAAGATCTTGGTTTTTCCCATCTGCCAGTCGTCGTCTCTGCCGAGCACGGCCTCAGCGATCCTCTCACAGGTTCCTCTCAGGTCCTCCTGATGGAAACAGAGACGGCATCAACCAGTATATTTTATTCCTGGACTCTACCAGAGTAGCTTTGCATGATTCACAGTTTCCAAAATAATCCTCATTTATCTCATTCTGGGCCTCAGTGTGAAACAAGCTCTTTAAACCCTTCAAGCAAACTTTCTCCAGAAAGGCTGGTCCTCAGAAAAAGACGAGGGCGGGGCTTCTGTGCTCACAGAGCTGTGTGTCCAAGATGATCATATAACGCATATCCTCTCTCGCTGACATCACATGGAGCAAAGAATAGAAAAAACTGTCTGAAACTGAGTGTTCAAAGAATTCTATAGCCTGTTTCTAAATCACAGGGATTTCATTTGCAGGTAATCCCTGTGATCCCAAATGTGTCCAAAGCTTGAGAAATAAAATTTATTTTTCTAACAAAACCCAAAATTACTTTCACTGAATTTGCCAAGTTTGAGCAAAATAATCATCAACTTAATCACAACGAACGCAGGTCAAACCACGACACGCATTTAACTGCAATAACAAGTCAGGTATTAAAAATACAAACGTTTTCAAAGTGACACACACACGCAAAATATGACCTGCGAAGGGTCACAGGGCGGGGTGGAGGAAACATAACACGCATGTTCCAAGAAAAACAGGCAGCTGGTGGGAGTGTGGGAAAAACTGCACAGTGAAAACATGTGTGGCACCAGAAAGGACCCTCATGACAAACTCTCGCACACACAAACCCACAACAAAGAGAGACACTCGCTCACTTCCCATAACAACGCCGCTGGGCCCGTGTCACACAGAGGCTACACAGCAGGCCACCTTCCCTAAGAAGAAGCTACAGCTGCTACAAAATTACTTATCCAAGCTCGGATAAGTCCAACACTTTATTCCAATTCAACAAATTGTTATTTTTTAACTGAAGTAAACGCTGAGGTGATCCGCAGCTTTCTCAGACCAGTTTTACACAGATGAATACTGTGATCTAAGATTATTCTCTGCACAAAGATTTTCACTGAATCTCAAAAATGCTTTTGGTCCAATTGGAGATTTTAACAGTTAGACAACAACTGTTTATTTAAACCACAAAAAGTTCAGAGTTGAGGTAAAAGGGGCTGAATGCAGCCACGTGATCCCCGGTTAGATAAATGCTTCTAGCATAAAACTGTTGATCTCCTCCTACAGCCTTTTTGTGTTTTTTGAAACTGCCTGATTGTTATGGCCACAAAAATGGAAAGATGCGCATTATTATTTTTAACTTTTACCTTCTTTCTTTTTAAACTTCCTTTAACTTTCAGGCAGTTACTCCATCGTCAGGAGTTTATTGTGATCACTGCAATTTTCAGATATTGAGTATTTAAATCGTTTTAGTGTTTCCGCGCCTACAAACCAGATTAGGTTCATGTTTAAACTGAAGCATAGAAAAAATAAAAGACTTTAAAAACTGATTTAAAAACTGCCCGACTATGATGACGTGATTCTATTTTTTAGCTGATTAAAGTATTGAGTTACTAGTTCTTTATTATTTTGAGTTTAAGTGATTTTATTTATTTCAGTGAATATGTAACCGACTCGACTGTAAATTAGTTAAGTCATTAAGTCACATCATTAAGACAAAGAAAATAAGTTTTGAAGGAAGCGACGGGTGAGGACCGCCTAAAAACAGCTCTGGTATAAAATCGAATGCACTCATGATTCCAATCTTCTTTTGAACTTCCATGACACCATCTGTAAAAACCATCCTGATCACGAGACGTTCCTGATCCGTCCCGTGTCCAACAACAACAACAACATGAGCTGCGCTGTGTGAAAAGAGGACAGTTTCCAGGCATCAAATGCAAGAATCACACAGTGAAACTTTTTTCCTTGAAACTGGACGTCAACAGTGATGAGAAACTTTGCTTCATTTATATTTGATGAATATTTTTTGATCTTTACTTTTTTGCCACATTTTCCAATAAAAAAAAAAGAGAAGCTGGAGTACCTGGAGTTGGGAATACATAAATTATTCTGCGTGTGTTGATTTAAAACACCCAATAATACCAGACCCATCAACACACCTGTAGTCACTCTACCTGTTTGTACGCCGGTTTGACTCCAGGCATGAGCACCCGGTAGCGGTCGACGAACTCCACGAAGGTGTAGCGGATGGGATAACCAGCACGGCGGATTCGGATGGTCTCCATCATACCCGAGTACCTCAGCTGACGCACACACAGCTCCCTGTCAAACAGCTGCAGACAAACACGAACAGTTTTTTGACAAAGTCCCAGCTTTGGCTGAAGAAGCTGAGAAAGGTTAAAGGTCATAGCTGCAAAGATTTGGTACTTTGAGGCAGTTGAGAGAAGACATGACGGGCGAACTGGGATATTTTATTTAATCTATCAACATGAAACTCCTGTAGATCACTACGTACTTTTATTTTTCTACAATTAAGTAACCCATTAATCATTTCCCCATTTTTCCTCCTCATTGTGCAGCTTATCAGCCACTCCACTTTCTCTCAAACAGTCCTGTTTGTCAGATGAGGTTGTTGTGGCTTTTTCTTCATCACTCACTTTCAGCTTCTTAATTACAGTTTGAACTCTGCTCACCGGCATTCTCATTTCCCTGATTATATTTTCATATCCTTTTCCTGTTTTATAAAGTTCAACTATGTTCTCCAGCAGATCCTTTGAGAAGTCCAACATCAGTGCAGCACTGGAAACGTGCAGGAGCCCAGAAACTCACCGACCTCATTACAAGCAAACAGATCACAGGTGAGAACGATCATCTTTAGTAGTCATTTAAACCTGTGTGTGTCAGCATATGTGGATGGTATCATGCCAACACTTAAAAATAATAAATGATTTTACTGAAACCACCAACCATGAATGAAAAACATTTTTGTAGCATCATTCATATTTTCTGAAAAAATTCTGCCAGGATACATAAACATATGAACTGAACTAAGGATACAGGTCAGGTCCAAACGTTTGTGCTGCACTGTAACATAAACTCCCCTCAAACTTTCAGCTACAGCACAGCCTGAATTTAAAGACATAATCTTTATTTGTCACAGCGGCTGTGGTAACGGTCAGACATGGAGAGAGTGGAGAGCCATGGGAAAATACGGAGGGAAATTAAGTTATGGGAATGAGATTTACAGAGAGAAAAACAAGCAGAAGCAGATTTGATCCATTTCTATCGATTAAGTTAATAATCGAATTGATTAAAAACTTTTTCATGCATTTTTGCTCATGAGGATGACTCCAATATGTTTTAATGACAGGAAGGAAAACAAAGAAAGCCTTGCACACTATGGAAGGTACAAAGCATAAAAACAGGTTTGTAGTTTATCAGGTATCTGCAGGGTTGGACCGAAAAATTTTTTTAAAAAGTTTTCTAATGCAAAACAAAGTAAAAATACTATTTACTATTTCACTATATCATGTTAACCTCTACAACTTCTTCATAACTAAAGTGTGCCTCCTCTGCAGCAGAGTTTCTAATGTCCGTTAACTTCTGAATCAACCTTTTTTACCTTCGTAATTCATCTCAACACTGAACTAAGCAAAGACATGTTTTGCCTCCCTGTGACTGCAGTCTTCCAGTAACTGCATGTTTTAACCTCGACTTCTATCTGCGGACAGCGTGTCAGACTCACCATCGGCTTCTTGTATTCATTGGGTTTGATGCAGCGGACGAAGAACGGCTGACAGACGCTCAGAGTTCTCATCAGCAGCTCCAGAGATCTTTTAAACTGGCTGCTCAGGGTGGGCGAACGCTTCCTGGTTTCTGCTCCCTAAACACACACACACACACACACACACACACACACACAGCAACAACCCTGTTAGAGACAATGAGGACTCCTCCTGCTCTTCCTGAGCTCGGACACCAACCTCTTTCCTCTCTGAACAGCAAAGTTTGAGCTTCAGCTTCACTCAGTCAAACCTGCTGACTGAGCAGCGACTGTGTCACAAGGAAGGAGCTGCAATCAATTAACTGAAGCATCAATCAGCTCAGCCAGAGAAAACTGTTTTAGGCCTGTTTTTAAAATTATTATAAAACTTATTTAAATTAATCACATCATTTAAATTAAAGTAAAATGGCATCACACAACAATTTGATTTTAAAAACAACAATAACATTCTGGTTATTTGTATATTTAAAGAAATTTCTTGAGTTTTGAGACCTAATTTTTTTTTAAAAATTGCAATATTTTCCTCCAGACTATGAATAAGCTGATGAAAATAAAATAAATAAAGATTTTAAAATAATTTTAATATTATTCAGCATCATTATATTATTTAAAATTAAAACTCTAAAAAAATAATCACGTTACTGTCCATTAATAATTACAGCTTATTGCAGCCATAGTTTGACTATTTCAACACACACGACGACTAATAATAATAATAATAATAATAATAATAATAATAATAATAATGATGATGATGATGATGATGATGATGATAAAGAGCGAAATTTGAGAAACAAAAGTTCTTACCAGAGTTTCGTGAGCACAGAGCAAACTGAGCTTTGTGGCTACAAAGAGAAAAACTTTCTAATATTTCTCCATCCCGCGTGTTTGTACTTGAGCCTCACTGAGGTGGAAGTGAGTGTTTCCGTCGGTGTTTGAGCCGTTTACAGATCACCTGCTGCTTCCCTGCGCAGGCTAAACTCAGCGACCTGATCTAAATCTTCACTCACTTCTACCTTCAAGTTACATCAGCGCGCAGCTTCACAGCACGAGCTTCTGCACCGATCAACACCGTCACATAAACCTCGTCACCGCCTGTGGAGGTGTTCGTGTGATAGAAACGTTGCTGCCCTCCGGCGGTAACAGGCATCTATTACAACACTGCAATTAATACATTCAAGTGATAAAATATAAATAAAAGTTATAATTATATTAAAAGCAAATTAATGCACAGGTCTGGATTCACCACTGGTTTGATTATTAAAAACAACTCGAATACTAATATAATCCATGTTTATTAACAGCTTTAGGTGGAGCAGAAACCTTGCTGCCCTCAAAACTTTAAAAAGTAATCATTAGTAAAAATTACATTCATAATATGTCAAGTAGTTTGCTAAAGCAGCATCTGATGTCACAAAATAATGTAGTTTGTCAGTGTAAACAAACAACATAGATAAAAAATAAATAAAATAAAGGCTCAGTGGGGTTTGTTTTTTTCCGTACTTCTGCCCGCAGTCGGTTTGTGAAAAGAAGTTACAGCTATATGTTATTGTTAACTGCATTAAATATTTGGTAATATTTACTAATGCTAGGTTTACCTCGCTGACTCAGTACTAACTTTGAATTTGTTTAGCATCACGGCAGTAAAATGGATAAGAAACAAACAATAAATGATGTTTTTTAAAAGATGGTTCAAATGCTGTGACTGTGTTGCAATAAAGAAAGGGTAAATCGTTTTTAAAAGAAAAAATAAAAACACAAAAAAGTATAAAAGACTAAAATTACAATGAATGTGACATGAAACTGTTTATAAAAGAGGTTTTTTGTTTTTGTTTTTTTCTTTCTACATAAGACTAAAACACTTTTAAGGCAGAAAATAAAAATGATCGGTGAGCTACGGTATAATCTTGTGACATTACTCACAGATGAAAGCACACACAGTAGGAAAATAACCACCATAGTTGACATGGAGTTGTATTCATCAGCCTTTTGGTTGAATCTCATTCAGCTATGACAAAAGTATGTGAGCTATGGGATGTTCAGACCATGTTTGAAGTCAGAGAGGAATCAATGAAATGGAAGAAGATGGTAAAATGAAGAGGATGAAAATGCAGCGCTGGGATGTTTGATTTCTCATTTTTACCTTGGAGGGAGCTGTGGCTGAACTAACAGGAGCGTAACCACACAGAAACTGGCAGAAGCAGCACACAGACATGCAAATGCAAACAAAGAGACACACAGGGAGGGAAGACAAAGAAGTCAGACATGTTATTTTGGGCTGGACTTCAAAGAGAAACATGCAAGTAAACAACAGCATGCAGGAGAAGAACAGCTCAGAAAAACTTTCTGGAGTTCTCAAATGAACGTGTCACTCAGTCAGGAGGTTCCTAGATGGGGTACCGCTGCATTCAGGGACCCAGAGAGCACACTCGCTTTTATCAGAGTTGCCAGGTTTGTGGTTTTCCCACAGCATCTAAATACTGTCAACATCTGATCTGAAAAGTAAATGTAAATTTAGTAACACAAATCCTAAAGTGGACGTCTTCGGTTTATTTCCATCCTTGGGTTTTCATAGCTCAAACAAATCCCTATTTTTGATATAGTGGGTCTTGATTATGGCTGCCTTCTTCTCATTGGTTGACCCTTACAAAAAGCAGGTGGGTGGGGCCTATGTGCCTAGTATAAGACACCAGGGCCTGTTTATTTGAAACTCTAGTCATGTTTTATGCTTTTCACCAGAGTAACAGTATGACAGAAATAAGGGAAAGCAGGATCTGCTTTGAACAAGTTAGTAAGTTATTAATTCTGCAAATTGTTACACTAACAAACACAGAGAAACACAACCTGCTGTAATGCTTCTAATCTCAGCATCCACCAATCAAGTGTTTAGTTTAAGTTCCAGTTCAGGGCCTGGTTGGTGATAGTTCTGGTGTGGTCACACAGGCCTGACAATGGTCTTCTAGTTAATTTCCTTAATACGTGTGTGTGTGTGTGTGTGTGTGTGTGTGTGTGTGTGTGTGTGTGTGTGTGTGTGTGTGTGTGTGTGTGTGTGTGTTACCATAGCTACGTCAGCCTGGAAGATTTGTTTGATGAACTTGTTTTTGGAGGAGTGAACCAGCTGAATGATGTCGCCATACAAAGTGTCCCTGTTCTTCTCCAGGAAACCTGCAGGACACACAAGTCAACATCTTAGAAACATCAAAGGTTTAAACATTGCTAATTTGACTTTACAACATTTATTTGTCAGTGGTGATTACAATGTATTTGTAGAAGTTTAAAGGAGTTTAAAAAAAATTATAATAATTGTACAAGATCTGACATAAAAACATTCATGAAAAAGACATAAAATACGTTTATAAAGATTAAATTTATGATTTCCTGAGAACTGACATGTGGATCTATAGAAATGTGTAATTTGGGCCCAAATCCAGTGAAGAAACTTTCAGTTATAAGTTTCGGTAATAGGTTTGACATCAATCAGAAGAAATGTTTTCAGCTCCGACTTAGTAAAACATTTTTAAGTGGAAGTGGTGCTTCCATGCTGTTATTTCTATTTCAGCGTGTTTTAAATACAAACTCCAGCTAATGGGATAAAGATCAAGACACACGGCTACAGGCAGCAAACATACAAAGCCCACCACTGCACACGATTTCGAGCAAACATCCATCCCGCATCAGTTTCAGGTTTAAACCAGTGACTCGTGTGACTCTGCATGAATTTGACCTTTGAATATGAACCACTAAAGTCATAAACAGAAGGTTTAAAGTGCAGGTTGGTGGAGCTTTGATGCTCACAGCCAGAGCTGTGCGCTCTCACTTTGACATAGACTAGAAAAACATGGTCAGGTGCGATACTTGTGCATACACTGAGCTCATTAGGTGAAACTTTGGTCAAAGAATTTAAATGCAGGATTTTAGGCTGTATGTCGTTTTGGTAGTTTTATTTAGCCAGAGATCAGAAAACCATCCTGACTGGCTTCATAAAATCTCTTTTACTGTACATTCGAACAACGGGAAACTTGTAGTAACTGCATCTTTTAGTGATGTGGTGTGTGTGAAGTGACTCTGACCTCTTGTTTCATAGTAAACCACTCCAGCAAAGTGTTGGATGCCAAACTGAGTCTCATAGTTGTTCTTTGGAGGGATGTAGTTTGTGTTGAGTTTATGCTGAAAGTTCAGCTTGTTGAGCATGGTGGTGTCTGTGCCCTGCAGGAGACAGGCAGGAAAATGTGAGAGTTTAGTTTGAAAAACAAGGCTTCGAGTCTTTAGGCCACATAGCGGCAGCAGAAACAAGCTGTGAACAAGCTGCTGACACCTTATTGACTAAAATCTTCCACACACTGTTTGTTGGAGTTGTAGTGAAAACAGTGTCCAGCACGCTGTGATTCAGTGCTGCTTAGGCTGCTATGCCTCAGGATGCTTTACATTTAAAAACCCCGTTTATATGAGCTGTAAAGTGGATGATTCTTGTTAAAAAAAACATACAGATCTATTGTTATTTTAACTGCCAAGTGTGCAGTTTGCTGTGTTTAATGGAACTATCTGACAGATAACCATTCAACAGACTCAATTTTCATTATTCTGTTACATCAAGAAAGCAAAATACAGTGTTGCTCCATCTGTGAATGTAAAGCCAGTGTTTTGTGCGCCATTTTTTCACTGATCTCCTCCAAGTTGTAGCCAAGTTAAACAAATGTGTCCTAATATGTGGTGGTAAAGTTCCCCAGCATCCATGTCGTCATTTTCATACAATATAAATAACTCATTTGGGCCAACATTAAAATCGATTCCTCTATTAATCTATATTAATTTTACTGACAGTAGTTGTAGGCTCCATGTCACCACTATGTTACAGATCCAGGAAGTCAAACATGAAACGGGAGATTTCCAAATCTTTTGATATTAGGTGGGTTTGAAATTTGACAAGTTGATGGAAATTAGGTCTATTGGAAGGTCGGTCTGGTTGACAATAATTAGGACATCATGAACTTTTGTGTTTGTGTTTTATGTGTGGGAACTCTTCTATAGAAAATGTCACCTGTGTGAGTGAACTGAGAACCGCATACATGGTTGGTTCCTGTGGGAGGAGCTTAAGGTGTCCAGTCCGCTTCATGCCACACTTGATTGCCAGGTTTCCTTACATTCTTCAAAACGCAGACTCCATGAACCAATAGAAGCTGTCACAGTAGCCATGTTTCTGCTCAGTTTGTAAGGAGCACAGTGTTTCTGCTTCTCTTGTCCCGAGAGCTGTACAACAGTTGTGTAGCATCTTTTATCTGCAGTTGCACTTTTAAAAAAAGTACTCTTTTTTTTAAATGCTTCTGGTGTCCTTCAGCTCCTGCAGAGAATTTCTGGTTCTTTGGTTGCTAAATGCTCCACTGCTGGTGCACATATACCGTCATCATTACAGAGCTGAACTTTGGGGAATCAAAGACCAGGTGAGACAAATATGGGAGCGCATACCTTCGGAAATTTGCTCTCCTCGTCGATGAGTGAGATGATGTTCATGGGTTTGATGGCGATCATGTCCAGAGCGTCCTGGTTGTCTGTGAACTCAATGTGCTGCCAGTTGATGTTCTCCAGGTTGTACTCCTCCTGCTCCAGCTTGAACACATGACGCACGAAGAACTGCTGCAGGTTCTCGTTGGCAAAGTTTATGCACAGCTGCTCGAAGCTGCAGGAACGAGGACGAGAAGTGACGGAAAAGCTGACAATGCTGACAGAATAGTTCAGTTAAACTCAATATGTAGTGATGCCAGTGGGTTTCACAAAATAAATACATAAACAATGCCACAGGCATAAGAACAAACTTTTTAAATTTGTGTACGTTACACTTCACTCACAAGGGATTTGTAGCTGGCTTTGGAAACCCCTCAGAACAGAGATTTAGTGGGTAGGGTGGACAGCATCACTATGTGAGAGTTAGTGTGTAATGTACCTGTTTACTGTGAAGTTTTCAAAGCCAAAGATGTCCAGGAGTCCGATGGAGCGTCTGAGCGCTTTGGGCTGAGATGACGGAGGCTTAAAAATGGCTGCATTGATCTTTTCCACGATCCACACAAACAAGCGACCGTAAATACCCTGCGCGCACACACAGACAAAGTCACAGTTCAACACATTAAAGGTCCCCAATGAAGGATTTGATCTCTAGTAGAGATATTATGTGCGTGTTGATCACTGTCTCAGTCTCATTCCACTTCTTGGTGGAAATGCAAAAATGTGTTGGAAGAGGCAGTGAAGAAGACCATTATTCTGCAAACCTGCAGGTCGAAATGAAACATGGCAGGATGTAAGATACTTAAAGTGTTTGAATGGCTCTGAAAATGTGTTAAAGGAAAGGAAATACAATGAAAAGGTTCACACCAGAGTCTGTGTTGGACAATCTCAACTTATTCTCTTTTACCATCTCTGCTACGTGGGGCTTTTAACCCCTTTAGTTCATTAACTTAAATAAATAAAGTGTGATAATTATGAGCTGTACCTTAACAAAAGCGTCCCGTACATCCAGAGCTTGTTCCATGCTGAGAGGGGTGGAGACCGTCTCTCCTCTGGTGATGAGTGTTCGGCTGGTCAGACAGTTCATCAGATCCTTAACGTCCACCTTAACACACAGAGACGCATAAACACAGGAGCTCCTCAAAGAATCTCCAAAACATCCAATCAAATTTACGGTTTTGAAGTACTGTGAAATAATAGCGTAAAACTGCTTTTATTAACACCTGAATGGAGGTTTGATTTGAGTGTCACTGAACAGTGAGTATAGCATGTGAACCTGTAAGACCTGTAAGTGATCGATTGTCTGTTGTTGTTGATTTATTTATTGTTTGCTACTAGTGGGCAGTATATATGTCGCATGTTTATTTTGTAACAGTACCTAACAGTTTGCTTTTTTTTAATAACACTTGTGATGCAGTGTAGAAGATCAGAAGCAGGATGTTCGATATGGGATTTTTAAGTTCAGATAACACAGTGACATTGATCTTCTGCTAGATTAGACTAAAAGAGAGAAGGGTGGGTAGATAATGTGTCTGAGCACAATGGGATCTTTAAATTAGGGTGAAACGGCTGGCCAGTTCTACTATTATTTATTTTCTATCATATATGTACTGTTACAGTGGTGGATGATCATATTAAACTTGACCAAAGTTTTTAAATAATGAAGGCAGTGGACAGGCAGGTGATCCCTGTGAGCCAAAAGCTCAGACTGCTCCAAACACTCCTCTTTCTACTCTTGTCAGTCCGACTGAATATCCCTAAAATGCTGATTTAGGTACAAAACTATGGGCGTGATTATAGAAGTCCCGCCCACTTGTTGCCCATCCATCTGTGTATGAGGGGCATCTAATCAAAAGAAGGAGGGGCAAGAAAAGCAAAACAGGATGAAAGAGGATGAAAAGGTGTGTGTGTGTGTGTGTCACCTCTAATAGTGTGGCAGAAGTAGTGAGATGAGGGCTCCGCACCACCTCACAGGCATCAAGGTTGTCATAGGTGCGCGCTGAAAGGTCAAAGATCAACAGAGTGTCTAAAGAAGTTTTCTTTATAAATAAAATTTAAATCACAGATAATTTTTACGAGGTGTTAATTATGTCTGTACTTGTGTGGACTGCAAGGACTGGACACTAAGAACACTACTCATAAGGAAACATGGCTACAGGAAGCTAAACACAGCGGACGAGTAAACAGTGAATTCCTTTTCTGGTAATATTTTTCACTTTACCTTCGTATCTCAGGTTTCCCATGTGCAGTATAGCAGCCAGCAGCTTAGAAATCTCCCAGTTCTCCTTGTCAGTGAACATCAGCACCTGAGCAAACAGACCCAAGCAACAATCATTACCTTTCAGTGTCTTTCAAATATAAGATGATAAAAACAGTATGTTGGTGACATTTAAATAGTTGAATACACAATATTAACTTTAGGTAAAGCAGCACACACGTTAGTACCTTCATTGCAGAGCGGATGTTGGAGTACTCCTTCATATCGTTTCGGCCATCACAAACGGTACAGTTACCCTGCAAAGAGACGGAGGGATGGATGGGGATCAGAACAAAGTCTTTGTCTTTTCATATTTTATTTACTTTTTTTATCCTATTTTTATTTGATATAATCTCTGTTTTCCTGATTGGCACGATCCCCTAATAAGAGACTATTCAACAGCTGTAAAGATCAAAGCTCCTCATGACCGATAAGGCAACTGATCAGCCAATTACGCAGCGTGAGACAGTAACTCACGATGGTCAGGTAGGTGTAGTCCGTGGCTTTGCTCAGCCCCAGTTTCTTCTTCTCATCGACAGTCATTCCCTTCAGCATACAGTAGAAGATGTGGTAGTTTCTCTCATCGTAGGCCTGTAGAGAGAGGAGAAAAGTCAAATCAGTGTTACACCACTACATATTATAAAAGATAAGGTAAGGCTTTGCAGACTGCAGGGATTAATTCATCATAAGATAGAACTGACTTTTGGCTATTTTGTTTTACTTTAAGTCAAGACGACAAACAGAATGACGTTTTTTATGTCACAGTTAGTTACTGAGAAAATGCTCAGGAGTTTAACTTTGAGCTGATCAGCTTCGGACTTACCTGTCGACAGACTCGGGATTTCTCCAGCAGGTACTGCTCTATCTTGGCTCCTTCTATGGCTCCTCGCTTGTTGAAATGGATGTCAATGTATTTCCCAAAACGAGATGAGTTGTCATTGCGGATCGTTTTGGCGTTTCCAAAGGCTGGAAGAAAAACAGAAAACACCAACAATGCAAAAGACATTTCTGTCAAGGTCCACTGGGAATCTTAATGGAGAGTCTTTAGGAATTATCTTCTTTCTTGGCTGTAAATGTTTTCACTGTGTGTTTTTCACTGAAATATGAGAGGAGACTCAGACATGTGAGCATGTAGTGTGGTGTGTTGTTTCACGATCGTCTTTCTCTCAGGTGAGACATTCACGCCATGCTGGATTGAAGTGTAAATGACGCCTGCTTTGCACTCACAGTGCACTGCACATATGTAATAGGTTGCCTGCTTTTATCATGACGGCTATAAAGTAGATTGGCTTATGCACAAAGAATCACCGGGTCACATTTGATCATTTTGCCCAACATTTAAGCCAAATAGAGTTGATTTTTGATCACAATGAATGGCTAACTGGCAAAGAATTGACCAGAGATGTTGAACGACGTATTAATCTTGCTAATTTGGTTTCATCTTATAAGTAATTCCTGCTGATTTAATTAACAATTAAATGGAGGTAGATGTTTCATGTGACATGTCCTGTCACTGCACTGCTGCAGACCTCTATCTTACAGTGTTTTGCTCTTCTGATCATTTTGAATTTTGTTATAATACATCCAGTAAATCTTATCTGAAGCTTTAACTTTCAGGTAAAGCTTAAAATGTTATTAATGAAGAATATTTTTTAATGAAGTAATGTACATGTTTAAAAATAACTTTGGTAGTCAGCACAGTCTGTCTGTGCTGCCGGGTAGTTGTAAAACCTTCAGCTGCAAGATTACTGAACTAACATGTCTCTGTTACAACTGTGAGACAATAAACGTAAATGCTAAAGTGAATCCACATCATCATCTGTGAGTTTGTCTACTTCATAGAGATTTTCTTCCAGATAATGAGTTAAAGCTCACTTTTCTCTGTGTGTGTGTGTGAGTGTGTGTGTGTGTGTGTGTGTGTGTGTGTGTGTGTGTGTGTGTGTGTGTGTTACCTTCTAGTATAGGGTTTGCCTCCAGGACCTGCTGCTCTATCCAGGAGTGTTGACCACTGATGGCCGCCAGAAACTGAAGGATCAGTTTGGTGCTTTCTGTTTTTCCTGCTCCAGATTCACCACTATCAAACCAAAACAACCGCGAGAAAATGTGATCATGTTTGAGAAAGACCAAGAGGTTGTTTATCATTTTAAAGTTTCTGATGATATCTACATTTTTATCAGTTTCTTACTTTTCTTGTTTTTTCTTCTTTTAATCACAAATTTTAATAATTTGATAAGAAAATAAAAACTTTAGATAGATATCTGACTGACTGACAAACCTTTTGGTCTGCATGGTTAAAACTCACATCCTTGCTGTATGATTGCTGGTTTGTATTTGAGCCACCTGCAGTCTGAACTTTTCCTAACCTGATGATACAGCACTGGTCGCGGTTGTTCCTCTGCATGTTGAAGTAACAGTTGTCAGCAATGGCAAATATATGAGGTGGCATTTCACCGATCTTCTTGTTGGTGTAGAGGCGGATCTGGTCAGCCGTGTAGATGGGCAGCAGCTGGTAAGGATTGACAGCCACAAGGATGGAGCCTGTGTACGTCTGTACAGAAAAAACGAGGATGAACCAAATTGTGTTTTTTTTTAGGTCACCCGGGTGTTGATGTTTTGGACTCACACTGCTGGTAGCTGATGTGTAAAAGAAAATAAGTACTGAGTAACTACAAATCCTACAGACATCATCTTCTCCTCAACATGCCATACTTGGAAAATTCCTCCAAGGACTTGACCATGAACGAGTTCAAAAGACAGTTCCTGAGTCCAAACCAGAGCAAGGCAAAGTGTAATAAGAAGCTAACAAATAGTTCAAAAACACATCTTAAAACTGAACAGCCATGAACAGGTCAGCATTTTATGTTTCATGTTTAAGGATTAAAGCACCTGCCAATATCAGATTAAAGTCTTTCAGCTAAATTTGAGAAATTATCAAAGAAGCCAGCCGAAGATCCTTTAGTACAATGTCCACAATACAACGTCAGAAATATTACAAAAAAATGTCATGCGGCTTTCTGTTGTCGAAAGGATCGAGCAACAAGCCGGTGCTGGTTAGCGGGTACATGAGCTGACACAGGTCGAGTAGCTCAGATGTTGAAGGATGACAATGAGAACGTATCATTGTTCGCCATAAGAGAACAGAAAGCCATGTTGGAAACATGGTGCAGCTCTCAGTTTGGTTACTGTTATGCCAAAGTGAGTTACTATAGTCCCTGCGCCAACATGACACATCCATCCATAGTGCATATAAGAAAAGAAGTCCCATCAAATACATGATGTCTACTGAAACGTGCAGCAAACACGCTGCATACTGTGATCGAGGCCATGCAGCGTGCATTAAATCCATGCAGTGGGTGCATATCCTTGTATATTTTTTAGCCTTTGTCTATGCTTGGGTTTCAGGGGCTGACTTACCCTGCCACCACAGTTTGTCTTCAGTAGAAACAGGAACAAATAAAGGAGGGTAACAAACAGAGGTAATGAGAAAATAAAGCAAGGAAGGTATTATGATGACAGGAGAGGAGTGAGAAAAAAGTGACAGAGAGTTAAAAGAGTAAGGTGACGAATAAAGTGTTAAAAAGCTGCTTAAACAGACAGAACATATAGCAGTAGGGTCAAAATAAATGAGATATAGCAAATTCTATATAAAAATGAGGTTTGTATTAAACCTTAAAGCCTTTTAAAGCCTTAAACTTTAAATCACAACGACAGTTGCCTTAAGACACTTTATGTTGTAAAGTCAAAACGCTGCAATAATACAGCGTAACCCCAGTCAGATAAACCTCTATGAGCGAGCGCTTGACGACAGTGGGAAGAAAAAACTCTCTTTTAACAGGAAATAACTTCCAGCAGAACCAGGCTCAGCGAGGGGCATCTGCTGCGACCCATTGGGGATGAGGGGATAAATAATCAAATAAAAAATTAAGAAAAGACTATATATAAAGTTTTGTTTTAGTGCAGAAGAGCAAATATTTGTTACTCTGTGTAGAAAAATCTTTTTAAACAGTATTAAAGGGATTAAACATGAAGGTATTTCTATTGTTGGAGTTCCATCCATCCAGCAGGATGAGGGTTACAAGTGTGAATGATTTAGTTTGTACTCTACATAGTTGTTGGTAGAGTTTCTTTAATGAGCAGAATTAGGCTTTTCATAATTAAGCATTGCTTCTGCCTGAGCCTGTTCAGTCACTCCTTGGTTCCAAGTACTGATGACAGTTTCTAATATATCAAACACTACTTCCTGCTACAGTCCAAAGACACACAGTTTGAGTCAAGTTGTAAGTGTAGTGTAATTGTGAAGAGTAGCCATAATGGTGAGGAACTGGGAGCCTGTCCAGGGTAAACTAGATTCAGTAGGCTCAGCCCTGCAGTAATCGCTGCAGTAATACTCACATATATGAGTTTTTCTCTGTATCTGATGAGCAGGTTACGGAGGATACCAGCTTCATTGAGGTCTCCCAAGCGAATCATGTCTTCCACCCCGTGGATGGAGGTGGGATGCATTGGCTTGATGTTGGTGGCATTTTGGGGGGAGATCCAGTGCTCCTGAAGGAGGATGGGAAGTTAAGTTGAGAAAGCACATTGGAAATTCAGGACATTTTTGATCCTAAACAAAAAAAACAAAAACGTTTTTAATGATCTCAACGGTCACATGGTGTCTGTGATTAGTGTTAGACACTGACATGCTTCCCAAGACATGTTCTTTAAAAAACAAGTTTTATTTGTATGTAAGTGCTTACATTTCCTTCATCGTCCACCACTTGGATCTGTCCGGAGTCACAGAGTTTGACCACTGCGCCGATCGGCACCTCAAACTCCCGACCAGTCTTCAGGTCCAACCAGACATAGTCGCCCTGAAAGGAAGTCAGACAGTCAAACCGAAATCAGGATGTTAGGATTTTGGGAGTTAAATCATTCAGCATCAGAGTAACAGAGTAAGTATCAAGGTCAGAGTAACAGCAATGTCAGATCACATGAGAAATCAGCAAGAAGCAGAAAGAAACCGTGAAGCAGCATTGACAGAAAAGTGCGTTAATATGTGAACTCATCATGAAAAACAATATTTTTCATCAAAACTTAGAACCAGCTCGTGGTCTGAAGAAATCAGACTGTAGGTTAAATAATTCCTCAAAGCCTTTCGAAACAAATCTTGCCACACAGCAGCAATCCTTAAATGTCTTTGAAACTTTTATTTTAAAGGCTATGAAGACAGAAAACCTGCATTTATAAAATGAAAAGTAAAATCGAATAATACAGTTTTAAAAAATCTGCTGACTTCGGCCCAAAATAAAGCCATAAAAAGCTTTTCCCCCTAGAAGTTAGAACTTCTACCTTCATCTCTGTGTTACAGGCTTCTGTACGTGAAATTAAATTATGGTTTCTTTGAGAACTGTTTCTCTTTAATAATGTGTCTTATATACCTTTACTCTACACTCGACTGGCTTTTAATAAAGTACCTGCAGCAGACTGACAATCCTAGCTTTGCTTTGAGGGTTTCTGTCTGACCTTTAATCAGTTCCAGACGTTTCTAGTAGGTTACCACTAGACCCAGTTTTTAGGTTTAATCCAATTTACATAAAGATTTTATGTTAAGCCAGTAATCTAAAATTTCACAAAAATTCATTGCAGCCATTTAAAATGGTACTCAGTAGTTTGTACGGCCTACAGAAGCTTGCATGCCTGATAACATCGGGGCCTGTTCCTAATGAGACAATAGATGGTGTCCTGGGATCTCCTCCCAGATCTTGACCTCAGATCAGGGCATCGCTGAGCTGCTGGACAGTCTGAGGTGCAACCTGGCAGAGTTGGATGGACCAAAACATAACGTCTCACTCAGCTGGATATAAGTCAGCTGAGCGTGGCTCCTCCTCAGTGGTATCAGATCCTCCATCCTCCATGTGCTGCCGGCATACTCTCACCACATGAGGCGTATCGTGCACCAGGAGGAACCTGGGACCCACTACAGCAGCGTAGGGTCTGACAGTGAGTCCAGGGACTTCATCCTGATACCTGATGGCAGTCACGGTGATATTGCCTAGCCTGTAGTGTCTGTGTGTCCGTCCATGGATATGCCTCCCCAGATCATCACTGACCCAATACCAAACCAGTCGTGCTGAATGATTTTACAGCTATCTTAATGTTCTCCACAGCTTCTCCAGACCCTTTCATGTCTGTCACACGTGCTCAGGACGACCCTGCTCTCATCTGTGAAAAGCTCAGGGCTCCAGTGGTGGACCTACCAATACTGGTATTCTATGGAAAATGCCAGGCGGGCTTCACGGTGTTGAGCAGTGAGCACAGAGCCCACTACAGGACGATGGGCCCTCAGGTCTCATGATTTTGTTTCTGATTGCGTGGTCAGAGACATTCACACAAATGGCCTGTAGCTCTGCTAGTGCTCATCCTTTTCTTCCTGTCACAAAGGACCTTATACTGCTCCCGCTGATGGCTTGAGGACCTTCTGCGGTCCCTGTCTCCTGGAATCTCCTCCATGCACTTGAGACTGTGCTGGGTGACGCAGCTAAC